TCTCTCACACACACGCCCTACCATGGAACTCCTCCCTCAGAGATCGGTCACGTGAGCCACTTCAATGGGAAGGACGAATGAGGGAGGTGGAGCTGGAGCTGGTTGGGGGGGGGGGGTGTCACTCCGGATTAATGGGCTGACAAAGGAAACAGGAAGAGAAGACAAAGGGGCCACGCCGCAGCAGCGGTACAAAGACAGCCCAGGTAGGGGACGCAAGGCCCCAGCTCAGAGCAAAGATACAGTACCCCCCCTTCTCCTTTGCACCCCCCCTTCCCCCGAGGGGCGGTAACCTGAAGCCCTGTACCACCTCCACCCCTAAAGCCCAGGCACAGCCCGGGAAGAGAACGAGGAGTCCATGGCCTTCTCCTCCCGCAACTTGCACCGTTCTTCTATGCGCGCCCGCCCGCCCCCACGTGGTGGTTGCCTGCCTGCAGGACTGGTACATTCTCATACCCTCTCCCCCAACTTCTTTTTATGTGTTTGCACGGCTGAGCCAAGCGGTCTCACGGCCTTTTGTGGGGTGCCACTGACCTCGGGTTATGGTGTGAGAGCGCTGGAGCTTCACTAGCATCCCGTGTTCAGACAACTCGCTCTTCGGATTATTTTTACTGGTGGAGGGTGGGGGTGACTAGATGATTTGATTTTGCAGTTGGTCCTGCTGCAGACACGCGATCTATTTAAATAATAGGGCAACCCCGTGTAATTTAGACGTTCTAAAATAAACTGATACGAGACTGAACTGGAAAGCTGAGCTGATATGGGCAGTTCTAGGTTACATATTAACATCCCACTGACTGATCTCTGGTCCTTGCCTTTGATGACACCAGTTTATTGTTTTGCATTTGAATTTCCTGTATGTCATTTTATATCCGTTTTTTAAATTAATTTCTTTTTATGTCCATAAAACGCATCCTTCTAAAAGTAAACCTTATAAAGGTTAACGTGATAAATTATGATAACTGTAATTGCTATGGTATAAATAATACACTTTGGTTTCACCAATCTGAGGATTACCCAATATTTCACAAACATACATTCAGACCTGACAGATAGGTATGTATTACAATGTTACAGTTTGGATAACAGAGAGTCTAGTGCTCTAATGGCAACAATGTTGCTGCGTATTCAGACAATTGCAGGGCAATTTTCTGCCTGAATATGCACAAATGTATCTTGGGTTGTCTGTTTTGTTTTGTTTAGCAATGGCTTCAGGAACAGCTTTGATTTACGATGATGAAATGACAAGTTGCAAACTACTTTGGGATGAGTAAGTCAGCTGCAGATTTGCTGCATTTTTTTTATCAACAATCCGTTATTCGAGAGTTTTTAGAAATGCTGTATACAAGAGCTGATGGGTGGCCCTGATTTCCATTTTGTGAGCTGCATTTTCTTGGGACCCAGAGAGTATTTTGATTTTATTGCTTTTGATCAAAGTAGAATCCTGCTGTAAATCCCTTTTTCTTTGCTGGCCTTGAGCATTATTTACCTCTGATACTCTTTTCATTTGAGTACTCCTGCCTTCTTTATTTTGGGTCTCTATCTCTATTTTTTTATAGATTTTTTTTTTGGCTTTGTTCTTTGTTGGTTACACTCCTGATGTTTTTAAAGAGCCACATAAAATTCCTTTTTACTCTTGCATTTTTATAACCAAAAAATGTTTGTTGTTCCCACACCTCCCCAATTCCACAAACTGGAAAGTTTTCAAATATCTTTTTTCTTTCATTCACCCCTACAAGAAAAAGGAATCTTCTCACAATGAAATATTTAAGCCTAAGCATCCCTGAAGAGGATTTATAATAAACCTTGTTGATATTGTATTGTAACAAGATAATTATTGTTTATTTGTAGCCCTGAGTGTGATATTGAAGTGCCGGAAAGATTGTTATCCTCCTATGAGCAACTTAAACATTATCATCTTGTGGAAAGATGTATCCATGTACCTGTCAGGGAAGGAACCGAAGAAGAAATTATGTTGGTTCACAGGTGTGATATCAAGTATAATGTTAATTTAATCACCTGGATCCTATTTGATCTTTACAAAAACTGTTCATATATTTTGCTGCTATGAAAGGTCCTGACCCAAATCTCACTGAAATCAATTGAAGGATTCCCACTAATATCAGTGGGGAATGGATCAGGCCTAAAATGATAGACTGGCTAGATCTAGGTGTAGTGGGGGCAGGTGCTGAACAAACTTCCCTGCACAAGTCCGTAATGCACCTGAATCCTGTCCAACAATTTTCTTGCTTTTCCTATTCTGGGCTTCTTTTGAGCAGAGATTGCCAATTGTATACAGCACTAACTGTGTGCAACTGAGGCTCTGTACATGTAAAACTTTAAAAGTAATCTTTAAACAAAACTGGTCCAACTTTGCCAGAACAAATGAACACAGGAAAAATGGGGATTTGTATAAATCAAATAGGAAGAGATGTTGAAGAGAAAAG